AAGCAACACGAGGAAAGGAAGAAGCCACCCTGACCAGGAAGGTGTGGCAGGGGAGGCATCTGACACGCGGGCAGGTCAGGGAGTACAGACTGACAGGAAACAGGATCCGGCTATAAACCTCAAGGCCCGCCCACCTCCTCGCCCCTCAACAGCCCACTTCCTCCACTGAGGCTCCATTTCCTAAATGTTCCATAATTGTGCAAAACAGCAAGAGCGCCACCAGCCGAGGATCGCGCACTCACGACGGTCAGCCTGAGCAGGATCTTTCACATCAGAACGGCACGTGGTTTTCTCAGGACCATGGGATTCTGTGTGATTTTGACTCTTCTTTCATATGTATTCAAAATGTGTCTCCTTTCTCCCCTTTCCCTGTAGCATGAATAATGAGAAGCCAGAGATAGATATTGGGATTCAACCTGAAAACCAGAAAAACAAAGCAGCCAAGCCACTAGAGAAGTCTTAACCTCTACCAAGGCTGGGTGACTGCAAACTAAGCAGACTAAGCCTCTCTCTCCTCCCGTTTTCTATTTCCTCTAGTGCTGGGATTAAGGGCCTGTGACTCCCTAGGACTGGGATTAAAGGTGTGAGCCACCACCACCTGGATTTGTTTCAGCATAGATCTTGTGTAGACCAGGGTGGCCTTGAACTCACAAAATTCCGTCTGACTCTGTCTCCCCAGTCCTGGGATTAAAGGTGTGTGCCACCTTTCTCTGACCTGTATTGGCTTTAGCTTTGTCTCTGGTCTTCAGAAAGATTTATTTATCAAAATAGAAATAATATATCACTACACTTCCCCTCCCTTATCTTTCCTCTGTTTCTCCCCTTCCTTTTCTGTCATGCAGTAATGCACACTCACACACACAGGCACACAGCAACCCACAGCCTGCAGCGTCATGAAGAAGTACAGGGGTACAAAGCCTCGACTCTCTGATAGCAACAGAGACGTGGCTGCCTGGCCTATTATGAGCATACAAGAAAAAAAGACTTCAAGTGTTGATTTTGACAACAGAGCCATTTCTAAAGGTAGCGGGCCCTTGGAGCTCTCCTTAGAACATTCTAACTTTACAGAGTAGGTGATAAAAATTTTTGTTCTTTCTGGTGTTAGGAACTTGGAAACAATCTGAGCAAACACTATGATCAAAGAAAAAAGAACCAGATTTTTCTTTGCATATATTTTAAGACCCTTATGTTAGAAGCAGCCGGAGCAATCTCAGCAGTCTCCCTTCTCCCTAGTAATCATTTCTACATTTCCATGATAACATATTTGCCTGCGCGTCCTTTTCTATTACCTACTTGAGACCATCGTAAAAGACTCCATGAAAAATGAGCTAGTTGGCCATGATACTGTTTCTAGTTTTCTCATTTTACAAGGGAATAAATTGAAGCAGTGGACTTGTCAAAGTTATGGGCCACAAAAGATATATCAACTTTTCCCACCTGATGGAATACTCATACTCTAGAAACACCCAGTGTGAGCTTCAGCCTGGCCAAATTTCCTATCAGAAATCAGGACGCAAAGGCTGGAGAGATGGCTCGGCAGCTAAGAGCACCAGCTACTCTTGGAGAGGACCAGAGTTTGATTCCCAGCACCCCTGCACCTCATAACCGCCTGTAACTCCAGCTCCAGGGGATTGACATCGTCTAGTCTCCATGGATACTGCATACACGTGGTACACAGACATACATGCAAGCAAAACACTCATATACGTAGAACATACAAAATCTTTAAAGGAAATCAGGACATGATAGCACGCGTTCAATGCCTCATCAGAATGAAGTGAGTGTTTAGTGAATATCGCCTAGGATGTTCATGTTGCTGCCTGCCCCAGCACACAGAGGTTGGGAGGAGAGTAGCAACCACTCAGTCTTGATGCATTTGAGACAAGGACTGATTCCTTCATAGTATGGTTAGAAAGCAGAGTAGGGCCATGGAGGGGGAGAGGGGACAATACACTCAAGAGTGAGAAAGATGGGGGAATATTTTGCATAAGCAGTCATTTCTAAAACTGGGTTTTTTTTTAAAGATTTATTTATTTATTTACACAGTATCCATCCTGTAGTCCAGAAGAGGGCACCAGATCTCATTATAGGTGGTTGTGAGCCACCATGTAGTTGCTGGGAATTGATCTCAGGATTTCTGGAAGAGTTGTCAGTGTTTTTAACTGCTGAGCCATCTCTCCAGCCCTAGAACTGGGGTTGTGTCAGGTTTGTGTGGTGTTGTGGTTTGTGAGAATGTCCCCCACTGGCTCAAATATTTGGACATTTGGTTCCCATTAGGTGATGCACTTTTTGGGAAGGTTATGGAACCTTGGGGGAGTTACAGCCTTGATAGAAGATACATGTCCTGGGGGTTCATAGTCTCACCCCACATCGTCCTCTTTCTGCCTCGTTCTTGTTAAAGATGTGAGCTCACAGCTTCCTGCTCCTGTTACCATGAGTATCACCTGTCGCCAAGCTCCCCAACCATGATGGCCTTTATCCCTCTGGAATCATAAGTCATAATAAACTCTTCCACCCCATAATTGTTTTGTTAGTATTTTATCACAGCCACGAAAAGTAGTTAATACATATGGTGACCCTAAGAAACAATATGCCCATGTCCTAACCCCTAGAAACTGAATCTATAACAAAACACCAGAGTCTGGATAATTTATGCAGACACAATAGAAAATTCACAGTCATAGAGGCAACAAGTTGGAGATGAAGGGACCAGCAGATTTGGTGTTTAATGAGGGTTGTGGTCTGCTTGTGTCTTGTTTTTTTCCCTCGAGACCTTTCCCTACCCACTGATGCAGAGCCTCTGGCCTGCACTTGTTCAGAGAACCCATGCTGTACCTCAGTCTCACCACAGATTTTGCAGGGGACACGCACATTCTGACCTCCACAGTGTTATTTGGAAAGGGGCTTTTTGCTGTAGCTAAAACAAACGTTTTGACAAGAGGCCATCTATGGAGGGAGGACCAAAGGACAGACAGCAGAGACAGTGGTCGCACACCAGGTAGAGCCTGGGGAGGTGCAACTCCAGAAAGGCAATGTTGACAGCCAGACTTTATCTTTATCCACCAGCAGCAAGGAACCAATATAGGGATGCCCAGAGCAGTGGTTCTCAACCTGTGAGATGTGACATATTGGATATTTACATTACAACTATAACAGTAGCAAAATTACAGTTATAAAGTAGCAACAAAATAATTTTATGGTTGGGGGGTCACCACAACATGAACTGTATTAAAGGGTCACAGCATCAGGAAGGTTGAGAATCACTCTGCTAGAGTGTCCAGAGGGGACGATGCCCAGATAACACTCTGACTTCTGAAGTTTATTCTCTAGAAGGCTCCTCTTTTGCTGAAAGGCTCCAAGGCAAGCCTATGGGTATAAAGGGCTCAGACTTTAGGTTTGTTTGTGCTAGGCTTAAAGTTGCATATCATTATACCCAGCTTTAACCACCTTTTAAAAACACAGCTTTAAAGCAGGTGGTGGTGGTGCACGCCTTTAATCCCAGAACACGGGAGGCAGAGGCAGGTGGATCTCTGTGAGTTTGAGGCCAGCCTGGTCTACAGAGCTAGTTCCAGGGCTACTTGTAGAAACCCTGTCTCAAACAAACAAACAAAAACAACCAAACAAATAAAAAACTAGAAAGAAATGCAGTATTCTGAGGGCATCATTTTTCCCCTTCCTCCTGCTGCCTGGAATATGAATGTGATGATTGATCTCCAGATTCAAAGATAAAGTCTGGGAGTCTATGAACCCCGAGTATGAGTCCCAGAACCCACATCAGACAGTTCGTAACAACTTGTAACTACAGTTTAAAAGGATTTGATCCCCACTTCTGGCCTCTGCAGGCACTAAATACACACACACACACACACACACACACACACACACACACCAATAAATTTTTTTGAAGGAAAGTTAGAAAAGAAAGAAAAAGCAAGTCCCAGAAGCCTTTACTAAGGAGAGGGAAGAAACAGGTAACTTCATAAAAAATAAATACAAAAAGCTTCCCTTGCTCCCTCCCCGTGGAAAGGCAGGACAATTGGTCTCACTGTCCCCCTGCGGGGCAGGCTTTGTCCATTGACAAATCAGAGGTCAGCGTGTTGCAGAGCCGGACTGGGAGGATTCCACACTAAGGCCTAGGCACCTATCCTTTCCCCTTTGAAGCTGTCAGGGGTTTTTGGGGGGTGGGAAGAAACTGATTTCAGGGGTTATTAAGTTTAAAATATTGGTTCTATAATATTGCTCAGCTTTAAATACTGCACACATGTGTTATGAGACACCATGAATTCACCCAAAAGTTATGTTGTCAGAGGGCTCTGTCTCGTCTCTGCCTCCCGCTCAGGTCAACTTAGTGCAGGAGACTCTCAGCCCTGGGCTCCCCACATCCTAGCATCACACCATGGTCCCCTAAAAGCTGCCTTTCTGGGCCTGGGGTTGTGACTCAGCGTGCAGAATAACAGACTAGCAAACAAAGAATCCTGGACTACCGGAGGTCGCCTTTCCCCTCTGTTCCTCAGAATCTTGCGGCAGCAATCCTCCTGCCTCAGTCTTGGTATTGCTGGAACTGCAAACTGCACCCCTGAAACCTGGCTCCATAAGCTGTCCTTCACTCTCTTCTTCTGGAAGTTCACTGAACTTCGTTCAGGGATGCCGGGGTCTAATATAGGATGAACTGCCTGGCCTAAGGCTTCAGAGTCCAGGGTCCCCTCAAAGAGTGAGTCTCGAACCCCACCTCCGCATTTGGGCTTGCACCCCATATCTCACCCGGTCCTGGTGTGGTGGGGAGGGCAGTCTCAGTCTCCTAGCCATCGTGTTGCATGTGGGAACTCACTCATGGACACCATGGGAGGAGTCACAGGCTACCTGTGTGTGGGTCCTCGGAACAGTGGACACTCCTCACCTTCCTGAGCTCGTGGATGCCTGACAACTGGGCTCGTGACCCCTCCCCACCCGCTAGTCTCCTCTGATCCCCTCAGGTCCCCAGCCCTCCCTTCTCCCTCCACTCCTCCCTTCCCTTCTTGACCCCTCCCCCTCCCCTCTCCTCTCCTCCCCTCCCTATCTTTCCCCTTTTCCTTCCCCCTTTCCCTTTTTCCTTTCTGCTCCTGAACCTGCCGCTCCGCCTGGGAACGGCGGGCGGGACCGAGTCCACCCGGACCCCACTGAGCCCCGGGGCCTGGTGTCTCAGTCCTTGGCGGTAGCGACATGCGTCTCCTGTTTCTAGCGGTGCTGCGGCCACACACCGGCAACGCGATCACCGCCGAGCGCCTGCGGTATGTTGCGGGGCCTGAGCATCCCTCGCCTGGGGATACCGGGCTGGGCCGGGAGCCGGAGCTGCGCGTGCACAAACGGCTGGGCCATGGGCGCAGGTGCCGCGCGGGGACTGCTGCTTTTAACCCAGCTGCTGCTACCCTGTCTGGCTATTGTGAGTGCCCTAGGGTGCGGAAAAGGGGCAACCTGGGCCAGCGCTGGCGGGGTTGGGGAAAGACTCAAAGGCTCCGCAAAGGCCTCGGTGCAGAGATGGGGTTTGGGCAGACCGGCCTGGGATACGAAGGGGGCACCCACGTGGCTGGAGAAAAGCAGAGTCCCGGTGAAAGGTAGACCTACATGGCTGGAGAGAGGCCCCGAGACCTGGTGGATGGGCCAGCACGTGCAGTGATCCAGGGTCCATATTCTGTTGTAGCTGTTCCCCGCCCGCACATCCCATTTGGTTCTCTTCCGAATACTCAGCTAATCTTGTTAAGTCGTTTTGCTTTGTGTGTTTACCTGGGATGGAAGCCGGAGCCAGGACAAGGCAGGGAAGGCGGGTCCATTCTCCTCTGGCCATCTGATTGCCTGGATCAAACAGGGCTGGTCAGTATTAGTGGGAGATAGATGCTTCCATGTTCACTAGGCCTAGAAGTTAGCTTGCTTCCCCCTTCTCTATCTCCTTCTCTCTTTCCACCTGCTTCATTGAATTTCTCAATGGCTTCCCCCTCTGTGATGTGTTTCGTCATCACGGGAAGAAGCGGTTGAGGCTACTCCAGCCCTCACAGGCCACTTTCAGCTAGAAAATGTTACCAATGGAGGGTGGACACTTTCCTGAAGTTTCCCGGAGAAGAGACGGGGATTGGATTGTGTGCATCTCCCCTCCATCTAGTTCAGCCACTCATTGGGCTCTCTGTGGACTGGGTTTAGACAGAACTCTTTGCAGTAGAAGAGACACAAGAACAAACAGAGAAGTCAATCATTCCAGAGGGTGATTGGTGCTATCAGGCAACTAAAACCAGGCTGGGAGTGTGGCCAAGTTGGTAGAATGTTTGCCAAGCAAGCATACTTGAATCTCTGGGTTCTATTCCCAGCACCATATAAACCAAGTATGGTGGTACACCCATAATCCCTTGGGAGATGAAAGCAGGAGGATCAGAAAGTCAAGGCCATCTTCTGACGCTACCAAGTTCCATATCAGACAGCTACTTAAGATCCTATCTCAAGAACAAAACAGTATGACCTTTGTGTTGGAGGGGGTCCTTCATGCAATAGGGTCCAGGCTATGTTCTTTGTAGAAGGAGCATACAATCTAAGACCAGAGGGGAGGCGTTCACCCAGATCTGGGAAGCTAGGTCTCGAAGGACCAACAATACCACAGGTCCTGAGGTAAGTGCACACTTGAGCTGTTGATATAGAAAGCTGGTAAAAAGCCATCCAGCCGTCTTGTGCACATGGTGGGAAGGACAGATTGTGTTTAAGACTAGCGTTTAAACATTAAGCACATGTCAGCTAACCTTTGACTCTGGGGGTGGGAAAAGGTCCAAGGTTTCCTGGAACGAACTGATCATCGATAAATAAATTATTATGTGCAAGGAGGCTAACACAAAGCATAACTGCTCATTAACCCAGAAGTGTGTGTGCCCCTTTCTCTAGGGGAAGGGCATGGAGAATGTGTGCCCTTCCTAAAGGGATTCGTAAATGATTTGGGGGAGGCCTTGGTGAGCTTAGAGAAGCTCACATTGCCCTGGGATGAAGGTGGAGACTCACAGAACAGTGAATGGCTGTAAATGATCTTAGTAATATTGGACGGTACCAAAGCCAGGCACAATGGGATATGACAAAGGCCTATATGGGACAGTGTGAGTCCTCAATAAGCAACAACCTGTTCTCAATAAGCCAATTAAAGGAGTCATAGAAACTTTAACATGTTACATACTTATACACACACACACGTATATAATTTTGTTTCATTTTTTAAGACAAGGTTTCTCTGTATAGGTCTAGCTATCCTGGGACTTGCTTTATAGACCAGGCTGGTCTCAGATTCAGAGATCCACCTACCTCTGACTCCCAAGTGCTAGGATTAAACGTGTGTGCCTCTATAACTGATTAAATTTTTTTTTTAATATTTTTAATTACGTGTATTTGTATATGCCTGTAGGGATATGTTTATGTGAGTGTAGAGTCACAAAGAGGCCAGAAACAGGTCACTGGGTCCCCTGGATCTGGTTTACAGGTGGCTGTGAGCCTCCAGACATAGGTGGTACAGAAAGTTTGTGCTTTTCACCTTTGAACCTTTTTATCTACACCTGAACCCCTCTTTTTTTTTTTTAACACAGGTGCTGTGGTTGTGAACTTGGGTTCATGTGCTTATGCAACAAGCAGTCTTAATTCAAATCCACCGAGTCATTTTTCCAGACCCCGAGGTGTGACTTTTGTCTTGGAACTGAAGAAGCTTAACTTGACATCAGCACAGCCATGTCAGGCTGCAGACTAACAATACTGGGACTAGGCCTCACCCTTACAATAACCAGGAAAAGCCGCCAACTGTACCCTGTGGGGGACCAATCAGAATTGAGACAAACAAGCACTAGATGCTCCAGAACATTAAGAGTAGCTTTTATAGCTTGTAGGTAGGTTACCAGTTTCCTTACAGCAACGCCAGTACCAATTCCTGTTTGACCAGACTTCTACTACCTCACTCCTGCTCAGTCAGGAGTCCAACCTCTGTCTGAACCCAAAATTTTCCTACCCCACATCCTTTACTCCTTAAAAGCCCTGCCGTAGCTGAGCTCAATGTGCTCCCTGATTCAACCGCTGTGTTGAAATGGACAGACAGTACAAACTTGCTTTTGCATACGAACTCAAACTCCTGGTGGTCTCTGGGGGGCTCATGAGGTGGGCATAACAGGAACTTGAGTACACACACACACATACACACACACACACACACACACACACACACATATGCTGGGGTGGGGTGGGAGACTCAGATTTCTATGACCACCCTGGGAAAGAAATTCTCTCATTATTTTGTTGCCTTTTGCTTGTTTTGCACGAGAAACAGAACGGGAGGCAGGGGCATAGGCGGTCAGCTTCAGAGGCCTGACATGGGGCTGTCATTTTTCCGTGTCTCCAACAACAGGCTGTCAGTAGTGCCAAGGTTAGCCTGTTGTCGTCAGGGCTGGGGATAAGGCAGGAGATGTGGGAAGGACTCTTGTCACAAAAGACCAAGAACATCCACTCAAGGAAGATAGTGACAGATGTATGACAGGAGGTAGGGGAGATTGAATCTGTGGGTCTTTTGCGTTTAAGCAATGGGGGCTGCTGACGTGGCTCAGTTGGTAGAATGCCCGTAGCTCCCAAGTAGAGCACTTGTGCCTTGGTTGGTAGATAGCTTGTGACTCAGAAGAGTACTCGTGGCTTGGTGGGTAGCGAGCTTGTGGTTCAGTTCACAGAATGCTTGCTTAGCAGGCTTTAGGCTTGGGTTCTGTCCTCAGCATTGTACCAAATGTACATGGGGATCCTCGTCTGTGAGCTCAGCGATTTGAATACGGAAACCTAAGAACAAGAAGTTTATGGTAATTCTCTGCTATATAATGAGTTTAAGGCCAGTCGAGGCTACAGGAGACTCTGCCTATAAAAAAAAAACAAAAACAACAAAAACAAATAAACTGGGTATGGGAGAAGGCAGATCTCTGAAAGTTCAAGACTAGCTGGTTTACTTAAGTGAGTTTCAAGTCACCCAGGGTTACATTAATAAGACTCTGAAGAAAAAGAAAAGATGAAGTTGGAGAGATGGCTCAGCAGCTAGCAGCGCTTGCTCCTCTTCCAGAGAACTGAGGTTCAGCTCCCAACACCCCCAGCAGGAAGCTCACAATCAACTGTAGCTCCAGCTCCCCCATCCCATAGTGGGAATAGGTCTGGCCCATGCTAGGCAAGACCTTGAACTTCTGATCCTTCTATATCTACATCTTGAGTGAGTGATTGGTTTGTAGGTGTGTGCCCTCACATCCCACCACTAAAAGTTTCCTGACCTTTGTTTGAAATCATCCCGTTCAGTTCCCCGATGAGCACAGTGTTCTTGGCTCTCCTGAGGGCATCTGGGAAATACTGCCAAGTGCCGAGTACCCTCAGCTCTCAGGAACACACACTGTTAGGGTCAGGTTGGCATAGGGCAGAGAGGGTTGCACCAGAATTGTCACAGGGAGAACTGGACTTTGTGCAGAGGGTGGCAGCTGCTCTTACCTCACCCAGGGCAAGCTAGTGAGCAAAACATGTTTGTTTTTTTGCTAAACCTTGTGATGAGGTACCTTAGGGAAAGGGAGCAATCAGAAGCCTCCTGGGGAAGATGTCCCCTGCAGCCAGGAGTCACTTTTTCTTTTCTAAGACAGCTCTGTCGCTTCCCTCCTGAGTTCTGCTGCAAATGCCAGGCCTTTGGGTAGGAAAACTTTTTTGTTTGTTTTTTGTTTTTGTTTTGTTTTTGTTTTTTTTGTTTTTTTTTTTTTTTGTCTAGAGGAACACACTAAAAGAGCTGAGACAAAATACCTGAGCTGAGAGAGGTCTGATGAGGAAAGCAGAATTTTGGATGAAGGTTTCAGACCTGAGTGTGGAGGGCTTGGCTCTCCTCTAAATCCATTAAGCTAGGATCCATAGATTGGTCCATCAGTAACATCAGTGCCTTCATGAGTCAGTCCCTGCCCAAAGACTCCATATGCTGTGACACACACACACACACACACACACACACACACACACACACACACCCCTTCAACACATTACCTTCTGGGGGAACATCTCACACCCAAACCACTACACAAACTCAGGAAATCATGGGTGCCTGAGAAGTGTGGGGAAAGAAACTATTTTATCTTTCTGCCCTAAGTAACAAGGGTTGGAAGTCAGTCAGTATTTAGGCATTTGACAAATGGGTATCAAAGACAGGTGTTTCCCCTCATAGCAGCACTGGCCCCTGCAGCCTTTGTACTCCCGAAGCCAGCAGCCAAGCAACCAGAGCTGTGCATCTCTGTCAGAACCAAGCCTGGTCATTTGGAAGAAGGTTCTGGCATGTAGATGCACAAAGCGTTACCTAGTTATATGTGAGCCTCTGATTGAGGAATGCAGGTGATGACAACCTGGGAAAGGGACTTGGCCTGCGCTCCAGCAGCATCTGGGACGGCTTCCTGCAGAAATGCTCCTTCCTTTCCCATCTGAGACACCCTTGTCACAACACAAAATCCACCCTTTAAGAGTGTGTAATCCATGGTGCTGGAGAGACAGCTCAGAGGCAAAGAGCACGCACAGGTTGCTCTAGCAGAGGGCCCAGGTTCAGTTCCCAGCACCTTCATGGTGACTCAGAACCATCTGTCATTCCAGTTCCAGAGGACTCAATGGCCTCTTCTGGCTTCTGTGGGTACTGCATGTACATGGTGCACATGCACACATATAGACGTAATTTTAAAATCATATGATTAAATCTTTAAAAGGTATTAGGCTATTGTTGGAAGGTGGATGGAGTGATTTCTAATCTTCAGTTATGAATATGCAAATTGGTTCCCTCTCTTCACAGAGATGATGAACCATTTATTAAAGTTTCTCTCTTTCTCTCTTTATATATATAGTAGCTTCTTTTTTTTTTTTAAAAAAAAGAAAAACCTTTTGCCAGGAAAGAAAACTACAATTCCTTAGGCATAATAGGCACTTTGTGAATTTATTATTGAATCTAGTTATTATTTGACAGAAGGAATAAGGACAAAGCTATTTAAAAGTATTATAAGCCAGCAAGCCACCAGGGCAAAATTTCAGTCCTCAGAGTATTAAGATTAAACATTTTTTTATTTAGAATGTTTATGAGCTCATGCAGCGAACGCCACAAGGCAGTTTAAAGGACGTCTAGGAGACGGAGAACAACTTGTTACCATGACTCTCATTACCCGTGACAAGGCCCCCTTCCCCTTTCTTCCATGTGGATTCCGCAGAGGTCATCCATTTCTCAGGCACTCATTTTCCAGTAGACGTTAGACTCTGCCATTTGCCAACAGCTTCTCACGTCCTACAGCTTTCGGGAGATGGCAGAGTAGTTCCTCACTTCTGCTCCGCGCCCGTAGGACGCCAACACTTAGGCTAAGGTGAGCGGTAGCTGCAGAAATATTCCTTTAAGGGCTGGAGAGATGAAGAGCACTGCCTGCTCTTCCAGCGGTCCTGAGTTCAATTCCCAGCAACCACATGGTGGCTCACAGCCATCTGTAATGAGATCTGGTGCCCTCTTCTGCCCAGCAAGCATGCAGACAGCGACAGGGCCTGAAGAGGAGGCTCCATGGTTAAGAGCATTGGTGGCTCCTGCAGAGGACCTGGATTTGGCTCCCAATACCCACATGGCAGCTCAGCGTCATCTAGAACTCCAGTTCTGGTGGATCGGATGCCTTCGGACCTCCGAAGGCACCAGTATTTTATGTGGTGCATAGACACACCCTGTAGGCAAAACCCTCATAGGCACAAAATGGAAAAAAAAAAAGAAATCTAAAAGAGATGAGTGACAGCAGTTAGAAGATGCATTTCAGGCGCCATCTTGAGTGAAGGGCCAGTGAAGAAGGAACCGGTGGAATTAGAGAGTGCAGACAGAGCTCTGAGGTAGCCCAGTGCCACTGAATGTGGTGAGCGGCTCGCAGTGTCTCAGAGCTGTGACTGCGTTGGCCCTGATCCCCCACAGTCTGAGGTCTTGCCGGCTGGGGAATGGACGGCTGCTGTCACCGTCTCCAGCTTCCATCTGTGTTTCAGTACACACCGACTCTAAAGCCACAACCAGCTTTTCCCTCTCTCTGTTTCTTCATGAAGGGACCACCTAGAGGCTGCAGGCCACATGTGCGTTCTGAGAGATGCCTTTGACTTTGAAAGCCCATCCGACATTGCCGATCTCATCGCGGCCGAGAACCTGGAAGCAGCCCTCGCCCTTCACCTCTACCGAGGAGGCAGACTTCTGCAAGGTACAGCTCTCATGCTTCCAAAGCCGCACAGGGGGAAATGCTGACAAACCAGATGCCAAGGACAGTGCCCTGTTACCCAACTGAAGGATTACACAGGTTTCCTTTTTTTTTTTTTCTATTAAGCAATTTTCTAAATTTGGTGACCTTGCCATTTTAGAACAGATAGGTATTGATGATATCTTTACTGTTTCAATATGTGCACCCTGAGACCAGCCATGGTGGTCCATGCCTGTCTTTACAGCACAGGTTCTCCTTCAAAGCCGTGATGGCCCTGGGTCAGAGCCATCCGTGTCTAAGGCAGCTCAGTCTGCTGTGGCCAGGAGGCCTCTCCTCCCTCCCTGGGTTTCACCCTGACAACTATAACTTTAAGAGAGACAGGGTTTGCTGTTTTTGACTTACAGTTCGAAGTCACAGTCCATCATCTGGGGAAGTCAAGGCAGGAACTTGAAGCAGTTAGTCACATCATAGCCAAAGTCAAGAGAAATGAAGGCAGGCACACGTCCTACAAATGCCCCTTTTCTATGTCTTTTTTTTTAAAAAAAAATTTTATTTATTTATTTACTTATTTACTTATTATGTATACAATATTCTGTCTGTGTGTATGCCTGCAGGCCAGAAGAGGGCACCAGACCTCATGACAGATGGTTGTGAGCCACCATGTGGTTGCTGGGATTTGAACTCAGGACCTTTGGAAGAGCAGGCAATGCTCTTAACCGCTGAGCCATCTCTCCAGCCCCCTTTTCTATATTTCTATACAGCTTAGGGTTCCCTGCCTAGGGAATGGTAACACCTACCGTGGCCTGCGTCTTCCCACATCAGTTCAACCAAGGCCATCTCAACACAGACGTGCCCAGAGGCCAACCTGACCTAGACAAACCCTCACTGAGACTCTCTTCTCAGGTCATTCAAGGCTGTGACAAGCTGACAGTTTAAAATGAACAATCACAGGTAGTTTAAATAGCTTGAGACATAGCAGCGCTTCTTTTCTGAAATGTCTGCAGCAGAAGGGCTTTTATTTAAAAAATTTAAATTTTAGTGTGTGTGTGTGTGTGTGTGTGTGTGTGTGTGTGTGTGTGTGATGTGCTAGTTTGTGGAGTAGATCCTCTCCTCTATAAGTGAGTTCTGAAGGTTGAATGGAAGTCATCAGATTTGTGGGCACGTGCTTTTAGCCACTTAAACTATCTCGCCAGCTCTACATCTTAGATTTGTTTTTTAAATGTGTATCTTCACATAGGCAGTGAGATATTTGGAGGAGAGCTAGGCTAGATTATAAAGTTCATTTGTGTTTCTCATTCCCTCGTACCCACGTCCTAAGGTCATTGAGGGTTATTTGTTGTTTGACGTAGTCTCATGTAGCCCAGGCTGGAACTTACTATGTAGTAGAGGATGGCCTTGACTTTCTCATCTTCCTGGCTTCGCTTTCCAAGTGCTGGGATTCTCGGCCTGTGCTACCAAGTCTTGTTATGTGGTGCCGGGAAAGGAACACAGGGCCTCATACGTGGTGGCAAGCTCTCAACCAGCTAAGATGCATTCTCAGCCTCTGGAGTGATTTCAGACAGTATTTTCAACAGTGACAATGACCTGCTCTGTGAGGTTGGGAGTGCTATTTTCCACATGTGACCTCACTTCGGTTCAGACTCTCCAGTTTGGGATCACCCCACGTTTTGGAGTTTTAGACTAGGCAGGAACCCCCTGTGTCACACTGTGGGGATCCTCTGTGTTCACAGCTTTAACTTTAGACTCTAAGGCATGCTGCCCCATCTTGGATCATATGCTTTGGCTGCTGTTGTTTTGAAACAGGGTCTCACTAGGTAGCCTTGGCTGGTGCGAAACTCACCAGGTAGACCAGGCTGACCTCACAGAGATCCTCCTGCTTCTGCCTCTCAAGCGCTGGGATTAAAGGTGTGCACCACCACACCAGGATGATTATATGTTCTTGAAGTTGATATGGGATGCCCCTCTGTATGCTGTGAATATGTTTTTATTACCATTGGTTAATTATGAAGCTGATCTGCAGGGCAGAATATAGATAGGCAGGAAATCCAGCAGAGAGTGGCAGAGAAAGAAGGCAGAGCTGGGGAGACACCTGAGCACCACCAGAGGAGTGAGATGCCAGAGCATTACCCATAAGCCACAGGGCATGTGGCAATACACAGATTATTAGAATAATTATTAGAATTATTGGATTAATTTATATGTAGAGCTTGCCTGTAAGAAGCCTGAGCCATCCGTCAAAAAGCCTGTAATTTAGTTAAGCCTCAGAGTGGCTCTTTGGGAACTGGTGGGCGGGACAGAAACCTCCAGTTACTTGAAGTCATGTTGAGTGTCTGTGCTATCAGTTCCTAGGTTAACCTGGAGGCCAAGAAACTATGCAGTATTTTGTTTTGTCCAATGCTGACAAAATTGCCATCGAAGTTCAGATAAGACTGACAGATGGCAAGGGCATGCTTCACTTCACTCTGATCCAGTTGCTGTTTTTTTGTTGTTTTGTTTTTTGCTTTTATTTTTTTTGTGTGTGTATATATGTATGTATGTTTGTATGTATGTGTGTGTGTATGTATGTGCGTATGTGTTTTGAGTCAGGGTTTCTCTGTGTAACTTTGGCTGTCCTGGAACTCACTCTGTATAACAGGCTGGCCTGGAACTCAAAGATCCACCTGCCTATGCCCCCCACAAGTTGGGGGTTAAAGGCTTGTGCCACCGCCACCACCTGCTTTGTTTTGTTTTTTAGTTTATATGTTTAATCCCACCACTCTTGCTCTCTGCTTCCAGTAAACATGAAGATGTCACTGTTCTGTTTGCTTCTGAGTTGGGAGGAACTCTGAACTAACACAGGGATTGTTTTTCCCTCCTAGGGATAAGTGTGAAAGATTTTTTTTTCTATGTACACATCAACCAATTTTTAAAGTGTTTAATGACAGGACTTTATAGTTGGCCTTGTCTAAGAGAGAATATAGCTGGGGCACTGTGCAGGGTGCATTCTGGGAGCTCTCTTATATGTTTTAACTAGCGTATAAGACAGACAACTTGCAAGTTAATTTGATGTGGGTTGCAGAGCTTCAATGAAGTCTTACGAATACACCTTAGCCAGGTGGTGGTGGCGGCACACTCGGGAGGCAGAGGCAGGCGGATCTCTGTGAGTTCGAGGCCAGTCTGGTCTACAGAGCGAGTTCCAGGACAGGCTCCAAAGCTACAGAGAAACCCTGTCTTGAAAAACCAAAAACCCAAAACCAAACCCAAACCAAAAAGAATATGGCTTAAGCCGGAACCTAATAAGGAAGCAGATAGGGTCAGGTGGCCGAGAACAAGATTAACCCGTCTGTGATGGCATCCCGTGACTCAGGATGGATCCAGTTCAGATGCCCCACCCCATAGGATTGCTCTTTACTTTGTGTCGTTTTTAAAATCAAAACCATGTACTATAGTTTGGTAGTCTTTGGGTTGTAAATTATATTGCCGTATTTCATAGGGCGTGTGTGCCACCGCATGCGTGTTGGAGCCAGAGGACAGCTGTATGGTGTCTGTTCCCTCCCACCACGCTAGCCCTTACACCATGAGTCATCTCACTGGTCTGCAGTTGTCTGTGATCTTTATTGTTATTTTGAGATTTTTGAGGCAGGGTCTCATGTAGCCCAGGCTGGCCTTGAACTCACAATTTAGGTAAGGTTGACCTTAACCTGCTGGTCCTCTTTCTTCCTCTTGTCAAATGCTGGGGTTACAGGAGTCACCAACACACTCAGGCCTTTGAGACAGGCTTTTCCATTTTACAGCCCAGGCTAGCCTAGAACTCACTATGTAGCCAGGGCTGGGGTTGAAGTCCTGACAATTCTCCTGCCTTGGCTCACAAGTTTGAGACAGTCCATCTCTAGCTTTAGTTTTCTGTTCTTAACTGAAATAAAATTAAAAACAAAATATCCTCTATCTTTGCTAGGTCTCCCACAGCAATAAGTTATGAGTGAAGACGTATTTTTTTTAAAAAAAATGTTTTTTTAATTAAATTTTTTTCACATGTACGGATGTTTTGCCTGCATGTATGCAATGACATTGCACCACATGTATTCCAGGTGCCCACAGAATCTACCAGAAGGTATTAGATGGGGACCTGGAGTTCCAGACAGCTGTGAGCTGTCATGTGGGTGCTCGAATCAAAGCTGGGTCCTCTGCAAGAGCAGCAGCGCTGTTTACTGCGGAACCATTTCCAGCCCCATTATTATTTTTATGTGGGGGTTTTCATCCACATGTCTGTGCACCATGCGGATGCTGTGCCTGTGGATGCCTGAAGAGGGCGTTGGAGCTACAGGCTGCTGAACTGCAAACAGGTGCTGGGAATCCTTGGTCCTCTGGAAGAATGACTGATGACCTTAACCACTGACCCATCTCTCCAGCCCTGAATGATGATATCTTATTTCCATGTTTTGTTTCAGACACTGTATGTGATGAACTGTGTCTGTTTTGAGACAGGGTCTCACCATGTAGCCTTGGCTGACCTGGGACTCACTGGTTGTGTAGACCAGTCTGACTGGGACTCACAGAGAGTGCTGGGATTACAGGCATGTGCTACCACACCTCATATGTGATGAACCGAATTCAAAGATACTTTTAGACTGGACATGATGGGGCAATCTGGAAGCAGAGGCGGGCAGATCTCTGAGTTCTAGGCCGGCCAGGTCTACATGGCAAGTTCAGTTCAGAATGTTGTGTTTGCTTCCAAGGGCCAGGGATACCACTCAGATGCCATTCAGAGTTCCACTGTTTCAATGCCTGGCTTTAGAAGCTGGTGATCATGAGAGAGGGGCCATGCCTGGTGACCTCCAGATACCAGCGTCTACACAGTGCTGCCCATTCCTCGAGACTTCCGGAACTGCTGGCTGAGGATGCTAAGCAGGACCCTCTCCTGTCCCCAGCTTCATTTGAGCTCTTTGATTTCTTCCCAGGATTGGTGAGCTTGGCTTTGATAGATGGTGGGGAATGATTTTTTTTTTCCATGGTTAAAATGGAAAGCTAATTAATTTGAAAACTAGTCCTGACAACCACGGGTGAGACTTGGCATGCTTAATCTCAGCGTGGGTTTTTCTTTGTACATATATTTGTGTGTGTGTGTGTGTGTGTGTGTGTGTGTGTGTGTGTGTGTAGTGTTGGTGGGTGTGGTCATGGTGATGGTTGTAGCACTGGGGACTGGGGAGGGATCTTTGTGGAATTCAGAAGACAACTTTAAAGGAGCCCTTTCTCTCTTTCCACCACGTGGGTCCCAGAGATGTGTCAGCTGTGGTGGCTTTTGCCTTTGCAGAACTATCTCACTGGCCCCTCAGTACAGATTTCTTTTTTCTTTCTTTCTTTCTTTCTTTCCTTCCTTCCTTCCTTCCTTCCTTCCTTCCTTCCTTCCTTCCTTCCTTCTTTCTTTCTTTCTTTCTTTCTTTCATTTCTTCCTCCCTCCCTCCTTACTTCCCTCCCTCCCTCCTTACTTCTCTCCCTCCCTCTCTTCCTCCCTCTCTTCCTCCCTCCCTCCCTCCCTCTCTCCCTCCCTCCCTCCCTCCCTCCCTCCCT